GTGCTTATTGGTGTACTCGTCTGTCTAATACGCTAATTTGTGCTCTTATGAGTGTAAGGACTTGGCTTGTTTTGACCACTGCCATGTTCCAAGCTCTTAGAAGAGTGCCTGGCACATAGCAGGTGCTCAGCAAGTATTTGTTAGTGAATGCACCATTTCAGACAACTCCTCTGAGGGGTTAGGTGGACAATTCTCCCAGAGGTGAGAAGAGTGGGGACCAAGAGTTTCTTCAACCCTTGCCTGGGAGTCTGGCATCATGGAACCCACAGGCATGTTGTCCTGGACCTGGTTCATGACCCTTCCCTGCCTGAATCCACCCCTCTTCCAGCAGCATCCTTTCAGGGTCTGCATGGGCACAGCCTTCCCACCAGGATGCACTTGTGGCGCACACATGCATCCATGCACCTCATGGGCACAAACAGATGTGCACACACAGCCTCCCTAGACCCACCTGCCCTCTGCCCACACCTGTGCACGCTTGTCTCCCGCTGGTCGCTCCACACCCCTAGATTGAGGCCTCTCTCAGGGCCCGGTTGCCTTCTCATGCTGTGCTCTGTTCTTTCCTGCTGCAGCCCAGAGAGCAGATGTTGGTGGGGAGGCAGCGGGCACCTCCATCAACCACTCCCAGATGCTGCTCCAACGCTTGCAGGAGCTGTTGCGGCAGGGCAACGCCAGCGACGTGGTTTTGCGGGTGCAGGCTGCAGGCACCGACGAGGTCCGAGTCTTCCATGCCCACCGCCTGCTGCTGGGACTGCAGAGTGAGCTGCTCCGGGAGCTGCTCACTAACCGGAGCGAGGTGGTGCTGCAGGAGCCCCGGGACTGTGCTGCCGTCTTTGACAAGTTCATCAGGTAGGGAGGGGAAGGATTGGGGGAGGCTTCATCCCTTTCCCAGCCCCTGGCGCCCCCACCTACAGGGTCACAGAAGCCTGGACCCTTAGAGGTCATTTTGTCTTTCCCTGGATGTCATTAGGATGACAATGTCCCAGCTCCTTCATCCCTTCTCCCTCTGCCCTCTCGTGCAGTAGCGGGGCTTCCTGCTGTTGCCTGTGTGCTCTGTGTGGTTTGATGCCGCTCCCTGCCCCGGTAACCCCCTCAGAGCTGTTTGCAAACCTGGCCAGCAGAACTTTTAAAAACTACAGGTTTCTGGGCCCCACCCTGGATCGCCAGTTTCAGGTCTAGGATTGGGACCAGCAGTCATTTTTAATTTTAAAGTCTCCATGTGGTTTTGGTGTCTGGACAGGTTTGGCACCACAGGGCTGGGGAGCTGAAAAAGTTAGCCAGCTCTTTCCTCCACCTCCCTGCGTCCTGTCAGTGTGCTGCACAGGGGACACCATTCACACTGTAGTCTAAGAAAGTAACTCTGTTCTAACGGCTCGGACGAGATGGCAGCAGAATCCCATCTCAGCAACAGGAAGGGGATAAAACAGAAACGCAAGCAGGGTCTTCCCCTTACCCTAATTTGGTTCCATTCAACCAGCCTTCATCCAAATCCCATACCAGGCCTCTGGTGACATTTCATCGACTGGAATTTAGTCACATGGTCATACCCACTGTAAGGGAGCCTGGAAAACATAGTCTTATTCCTGGAGGCAAATCTGCTGGGCTGAAGTGCATGGATGACGGGACAGATAGCAGGCAGTTGCCAGCACACCCCAGAGAGACAAGTGGGGTGCTGTGTGTCAGTGGGGACTGGCAGGAATGGTGAGCAGGGGACAGCGGTAGACTGAGAAGAGAGCTAGAGACAGTCAGCAGGAGGGATGACCATCAGCGAGAGAGAAGACTGCAAGAAGGGCGAGGGGCTGGGTCATTAGCTGTTGGTTAGAGCCTGGCGCTGATCTCACCAAGGTCCAGGGCTCCATCCCTGTACCCTCCAGCAAGCTGTACCCTCTCACCCCCTGCAAGCTGAGACTGCAAAAAAGAAAAGGGGCGGTAGAACAGGAATTAACCTGTGTTGGCTGCCTACTTCTTTTTTTTTTTTTGGCAGCTGGCTGGTAAAGGGATCTGAACCTTTGACCTTGGTGTTGTAACACCGCGCTCTAACCAACTGGGCTAACTGGCAGCCTGATGGGCTACTCTGTAGTAAGATTCATCCTCCTCCAATTGTCACAATAATCCCGAGGGACAGGTGCTATTCTCCCTTTCCTAGATGATTAGCCTAAGGTTCATCAGTGTTAAGTGACTTGTCCAGTTTCATGGCTAACAGAGGGTAGGACACGGATCTGAACCCAGACTAAACCCCACAATGGCAGGAGCCAGGTCTGTTTTGTTCTAGTTTAGAGCTGTACAGCTAGTAGATGCTCAATAAATACATGCAATTTCCACATCACCACAAAAAAATGGAAAGAGTCCGCTGGAACGGTCTGGAAGGGCCTTGGAGAAGAAAAGATGGGAAGCCTCAGGGCCCATTCTGCTCTGTTTGTGCCCCTGATCAGGAAGCTCTCCTCCCGGGCCGGATACCCTCTGAACTCGGAGAAGGGGAGCTGGGGTGGGTGGTGGCTCCATCCCGCCCCCGCCCCACCTGTCTGCCTCTCCCGCAGGTATCTGTACTGCGGCGAGCTGACCGTGCTGCTGGCCCAGGCCATCCCCCTGCACAGGATGGCCACCAAGTACGGCGTGGCCTCCCTGCAGCGGGGCGTGGCCGACTACATGCGCGCGCACCTGGCGGGCGGCGCAGGCCCGGCCGTGGGCTGGTACCACTATGCGCTGAGCACCGGGGACGAGGCCCTGCGCGAGAGCTGCCTGCAGTTCCTGACCTGGAACCTGTCGGCCGTGGCGGGGAGCGCCGAGTGGGGCGCCGTGAGCCCCGAGCTGCTGGCGCAGCTCCTGCAGCGCTCGGACCTGGTGCTGCAGGACGAGCTGGAGCTGTTCCACGCGCTCGAGGCGTGGCNTCACATGGTCATACCCACTGTAAGGGAGCCTGGAAAACATAGTCTTATTCCTGGAGGCAAATCTGCTGGGCTGAAGTGCATGGATGACGGGACAGATAGCAGGCAGTTGCCAGCACACCCCAGAGAGACAAGTGGGGTGCTGTGTGTCAGTGGGGACTGGCAGGAATGGTGAGCAGGGGACAGCGGTAGACTGAGAAGAGAGCTAGAGACAGTCAGCAGGAGGGATGACCATCAGCGAGAGAGAAGACTGCAAGAAGGGCGAGGGGCTGGGTCATTAGCTGTTGGTTAGAGCCTGGCCCTGATCTCACCAAGGTCCAGGGCTCCATCCCTGTACCTGCCAGCAACCCCCACCCCCTGCAAGCTGAGACTGAAAAAAGAAGAGGGGCGGTAGAACAGGAATTAACCTGTGTTGGCTGCCTACTTCTTTTTTTTTTTCTTGGCAGCTGGCTGGTAAAGGGATCTGAACCCTTGACCTTGGTGTTGTAACACCGCGCTCTAACCAACTGGGCTAACTGGCAGCCTGATGGGGCTACTCTGTAGTAGGATTCATCCTCCTCCAGCTGTCACAATAATCCCAAGGGATCGGTGCTATTCTCCCTTTCCTAGATGATTAGCCTAAGGTTCATCAGCCTTAAGTGACTTGCCCAGTCTCATGGCTAACAGAGGGTAGGACACGGATCTGAACCCAGACTAAACCCCACAATGGCAGGA